ATATATATATATATATATATATATATATATATATATATATATATATATATATATATATATATATATATATATATATATATATATATATTATTTATTTATTTTGAGATGGATTTTAAACATTTAAAATCCATCTAAGAGTCTCTGAAAAACTAAGTATATTTGCGTAACAATTGATTCCTCTTTCAAAAATACTAAAACATGTTTTGCATTCATTTTATCATCGCTTTTCCTCAAATGAAGAGCAGACTGATTCTCTACTCTCACCAGAGACAAGGAGTGTTAAGGTTAGACAACAGACAGCATTTAAAGTATTGCGAACACCGACAGACTGCTGGGAGTAGAGTGAATTCTTATAAAAATGCTCAATAATATATAATTGTGTGCATTTTTGCATATTACAGCCATTCTGTTTAGCTCTATCTATTATCAGAGCTAGAATAAAGCGGTCTCTTACTGCACCTCCCAGAGACAAACAAGTCAAAAGAAACAAACAGATACACATATATCAATACCCAGCTAGCAAAAATACGAGCCAAGCACAGACACATTTATTTGACTGATCTTAACATTACTGGGGTCCAGAATTTTGTGGCGCTTTTAAAGTAAGAAAGATGCAAAGATTTGTTCTCCAGTCAGCATATGTCAGTAGTTTTAGCTTTTACATTTCATTGGCTTGGTTTACAACCAGGCTGACTGTGCACCTTCATATCGTTATTTTTTAAGAATCTGATGTTTGATTTTTTTCAGCTCTGCAACTGTTTAGTTTTCTTAACCGTGAAGGATCCTGGAACAGAGCAGAATAGCTGTATTTGTCCCGATAATACACCAAAGTCAACTGGAAAATAGTTAGGGTCATGATTGTGATTATTTTTTGTAGCAAATTTTGACTATAGCTAAAGGAAGATAATAACTGGCTTGTGTCGAATTAAGCGACTCTTAATTTAGTGTAGTTCTCTGCTGGCTGGCCTGTATCGTACGTGTCTGCGTTTTCACGAACACTTACTAAACACAATCCTGTAATTATCGTCGAATATTGATGATATTTCAGTTAAAAATAATTTCCAATATTTCATCATTTATTTTAAACGTATTTTTTGTATGTGTAGAACTCGGTCTTGTTCTTTCCATCGGAGCAGAACATGCTGCGCTTTCGACTAAAACAGATCTCTGTCTCAACAGAGGCTTTTTCAGAAGCAGAAATAAAAACTGAACACAATTTATCAGAGCACTGCTAACGCACGCACGCACGCACGCACACACACACACAACCAAATGCAGTCACTATTACAGCACGTTAGCGAGCGATACATCAAAGCAGTGAGCCGGTCCAGGGCTGGGTGGAGCCCAGCAGGTTCCAGGCTGAATTATTAGACTTCCCCCCCGACACTGAGATCCAGACCGAACTGCTGATTGGGAAGGTTTATCTGTCTACACTGGTAAAGGAGGGAACTATGTGTCTGTTATTTTAAAGCGTAAGCGTATTTATAT